TCATGCCTCAATCTCCTCACGCGTCCAGTGGGCCACGGCACCGCCGCCAACCTTGCGACCGCCCTGCTTCCTCTTGACGCGGGAGGTGATGCCGACGTTGGGGTCGAGGATGAAGCGCCAAATGACATAGGTCCAGCTCTCGTGGCGGGGCAGCTCGTCGTAGAACTCGCTGGCGATGGCGCGGAGCTTGGGCAGGCGGGTCCAGGGGACGGCGGGGAAGTCGTGGTGCTCGTTGTGCAGGCCGACGTTGTAGGTCAGGAAGTTGAGGGGGCCGTAGTAGGAGAAGGTCTCGGGGACGGGGATGTTGTTGGCGGCGTCGCGCTGGGCGGGGGTGACGGTCTCGTAGACGTAGTGCTCCGCGATGAAGTGGCCGGCGAGCGGGTGGAGGGAGCCGGCGAGGAAGGAGGAGAGGAGGAAGTAGAGGATGGTGTTGAAGCCAAAGGCCGAGTAAAGGGCGTAGTCGAAGGCGAGCTGGACGGCGATGTTGAGGTAGTGGACCCAGGTGAAGGGGACGCTGTAGACGAGGGTCGGGCGGACGGCGTAGAAGAAGATTTGGAAGGTGCAGAAGAAGGCCTTGCCGAGGATGGAGTCGAAGAAGACGACTTCGAGGGCGGTGGGGAGGTCGGTGTCGAGGCCGTCGACGCCGAGGGACTTGTGGTGCGTCAGGTGGTAGGGCTGGAGGGTATGAATGTCAGTGGTTGTCCTTCTTCGTTCTTCTTCTTGAACAATGGAGGCTTTCAGAGACTTACACGGAAGGAAGCGCTGTAGGGCACGCCGATGGGCAGGTTGGCAAAGATGGCGAACAGGCGGTTGGCGAGCGGGGAGCGGAAGGCGAGGTTGTGGGAGATTTCGTGGATGGCGAGGAAGAGGTTCTGGTTGGCGGTGGCGCCGAAGACGTAGCCGACGAGCCAGAACTTCCAGGAGAAGAAGGAGGTGTCGCGGAGGTACCAGGCCCAGAAGATTTGCATGGCGACGACGCCGGCGACGACGTACTTTGTCAGGGGCTCCGGCCCGCAGAGCTTGGTAACCTGGTGATGCGGTTGTTAGCCATTGAGCATTTTACAGAAGAGATACTGGCCACTGTTATAGAGCATTGCGGTTTGTAGAGTGGGAGAAAGGAGACATGTGGAAGGTTGTGTCGTTTGGTGAAAGGACATACCTCCGGGTGAGCCTTGATGATGGCCAGTCGGCGAGTTCGGTGCGGTTCCTCGGTGTAGGTCCAGAAGAAGTCCTTCTCTTTGGGGGTCTCGGTCGGCGCATCGGTCGTCAGCTTGCCGGCGGCGACGCCATCGGGCGCGGCGGCGGACTTGCGCTTGGACGGCTGCGTCACGGTTGAGGCAGCGGACGAAGCCATTGTGCTGCGGTGTCTGAGGGTGGTGGTGGTGGTGGTGGTGCTTGTTCGTGGGTGTCGTGTTAGGTGTGGCGCGCGCGAACAGTTGTATCGAAGAGAAAAAAAAAGGCCAATATCGATCTGTCCTGACCGATAGAGAGATAGAGGGGAGGGGCGAAAAGAGAACGAGTGTCGAATCACCGGCTCTGGGACATTTAATTTATAAAAAAATGTCAAGGTCTCGAGGAGAAAGAGGGTGTCCGTGAGGAAACGAGAGTTTTCCACCGAGCGCACTTGTCAATGAGGAAAAAGAGACGAAAACAAAAAGTCTTATGTGTTTCCCCCTTTGCGCAACAGGAAATGGAGTGTTGGTGGGAGAAAGATCATGCCTCGAAAATGGCAAATCTCCTGATGGCGGGCTGTTAGAAGTTAGGGGTATGGAGAGGTACCTGGGCCCTGGGCCCTGGGGGCGTGGTCCGAAGCGGTCAAGCGGTGTAACAAGGTCGCCTCTCCAGGTACCGCATTTCTGCTTTCTGCTCTCTGCTTTCCATCTGTTCTCTCAGGTTTCTGCAACTTGAGGTGTGGCGCAGTGGATAGCAGTGGGGGTGGATGCTGGAATGAAAATGGAAGGGCTCAAGGGGTCCCCTTCCCTTGCCCCGCTGTGGCCAATCGTTCGGAACATGTGGTTTACGGTTTCTGGCTGCATCTCCCACCTATCCGTACTCCCTCACCTGTCTGGATTACCTACTCAGTAAAGATAGGCTTTGGCAAAGCTCGCTCCAGCTGGCCGGGATGAGCAAGGGATTGCTGAAATTTTCTCTGGTTTTTTCTTGGGACGTTGTTGGGGGCCCTTGGGGGAGATTTGGGGAAATCCAAATCCTCCATTGAATCCCCACACACCACACTTCTTCCCCTTCCCCTTCCCCTCCACTCAAGCCTCAGGGTAAGATGGCCCCTGTCAAGCTTGTGCTTGGTTGCGCATCTCGACTTTTTCCATGCCGTGCAACCATCCAAGCTTAGTTGATCCGTAGATCAACGGTGATGGCCATGCTCCATCTCGTAAGTTTTCGAGGTACCACGAAGCTGTGAGTTGCGTTTTCGTCGCCTACGAGAAGCCAATGGCGACGATATCGCAGTGCATCACTTGACCAGCTTCTTTCTTTGTGTACCTATTCGTACACCCATTCTGCCGTGTCGAGTCTTCGACAGCTTTGATGCCGTGATAAGATGGGATCAACCATGCACTCACCTTTCGCTCTGTACCTTGCGTGGTCTTATCCCGTCAGGTACAGATATCTCACGTTACACACCCGATGCATCCGCGCAATGCGTGTTTTCTGCGTGCTCCATGAGCAAAGAGCACGAATGAAGAACATCGCCTCCCGCCTGGTTGTCCAAAGTCAAGACTCGAGACAGAGGTCCGTGGTGTATGGCAAAGGGACGGAGGCTTTATGCCGAAGCGAACCCCACGTTTTCTTCTTTTTTTTCTCCGTGCCAACTTAATCGGACAGGATTGCCGCGGGCCGTCAGAGACATAGTGCTCTTATATGGTGGCATCGTTACATTGGCGCACTAGATTGGCTCGTTCAACGTGCCGTCCTTGCTCCTTTTCATTTACCCGTCATATACAAACTGCCGTATAGCCATAAATTTCTGCTCATCGAGCAGGTCTTCGGAGGGAGATGGACCGCAAGAGGGGTTGTAACGGTTGAACATAAGAAGCACTTAACAGAAGGGAACTTGGCATCATGACAGTTTTGGCACTCGAAATCTTGACGTCTCGGTGATCAGCCTCTGCAAAATCGCAAATCCTCAAAAAGCATCATCTACAATCCAAAGAGCAACGTTTCAAAAGCCAAAAACATGCGCTTCGTCCTACTCGCCACGTCCCTGGCATCCCTCACCGGCATCGTTCTCGCCAAGCCAGAGAAGATCAGGGGCGTGACCGATCCCGTCTACCACCTGTACCTCCAAGCCTACCCAAAAGACAAGTCGATCCCCGTTCTGGGGCCTGAGGCGTCGGCAGAATTCTTCAATATTGCCGGCACCATCCAGAGCGCCAATTCGAGCTCGTATCTCAACATTGGCGGCGATGCTACGTCGTACAAGACTCTTTCGTTGAGCAACGCCTCCGGCACCAGCGCGTGGGGGCTCGAGGGTGATACTATCATCACTACCCAGAGTAGTAGCTGGGGACGACGTATGTAGTTCCCTTGTTCACCACGGATATTCGAACTGGACAGAGATGATACCTACTAACACCTGGCAGAGCTGAATTTCTTGGTGTGTCAGCTGGATACAAGCTATTGGCAACTCTATCTGCAGACCGGAAGTGATGTGCCAACTGGCAGGAACTGCAGCAATTATCAGACCATCCATCTGCCTTGCCTCTGCTAGAAAGCCTTGATCTGACATCGGCATTTGTGGCACAGAGAAGGAAGTCTGGGTAGACGATGTCTGGCTACGTTGCATGTAGATAATAGATAGTCGTCAAAACTAGAGTCATACGAGCTGCTTTAGGCATGGATGATCACACAAGGGACTAGCGATCGAAGAAACAATGCTCCCGAGGCGCGCGTCTTTGTGTGACCAACAATGCTTGGTTTTATGGCCCGGCACAATGGAGAATGTATCTCGCCGCGATCGGCGGCGTAAGGGTCGAGAGCCAAGCAGTCAAGTCTGCTACCTAAGTATCATCATCAGCTACTCGGAATAAGAACTGGTCTAAACTTACTAGGTCTGCCTTCAATATTATTCGACATTCTAGGCACCAAACCCTTCTTGGCAATACAACAACTAGCCTTGGCATGTTGTCGTTCATAGTAAACCCTAAGAAGGCAACGAGGAAATGTAATATTGAATTCAACTCAAGTTGTATCCAAGTCCAAAGAACAACTGCTCAATGGTTGGCTGGATTTCAGAGGCGAAGGACTCGAATGAATAAAGGCAGTTGATTCAAGAGAAACATCAAGGTAAAACTCGGGCTGTAACTATGATCATTTGCGCAGCAGGTCCAACCATAGTCTCGTCGACTGAGCTGGATTGAGAGTGCGTTGCCCAGTGCCTGCCCGCTGTTGTATCGGGAACCCCGCTTTGAGGCACGGCAAGATAAGATGAACCAAGAGCAAAGGGCCTGGCAAGCTTGATGCAGACATGTTAAGTTGACGCTGAAGGATCAAAATGGTCTTCAAAACGTTCGTGTGACTTGCAGTAGTAGCTTCTGTACATCATGATGACCAGTTGAGAGAGGTTGAGGTAGAGACATTGGTACCATGGCATTGAAGGAGGGGTTCCCGTGATTGGCTGTCACATGCAGATAAGTCGAGCTCACAAGTACAGGTTTTGGCAGATGGAGATAGAAGCAAAAGGGACCAGGGCAGGGATGGCACCAGAGGGGGCTAGAATGGCACCAACACCTCCCCAAGTGGAGGCCGGCCGTTTAGCTGCAGGGCGCCTCTGCAACGCTGCAATAACCGCTGCAATAATACGGTTAATTCCAAGAACTTGTCAGCTTGTCAGGCCCTGGGTCGTCTCGTCGGATCCTGCTGGGATTCCAAGGCTCGGGGAAAGATGGGATGGGACGGACTGGACCTGCGTAGCTACCTTAACCTACCTTGAGGGCTGAGTACGTCTGCGCGATAGGGGCACGCGACCTCAGAGACACCCACTGATGAATTTACTTGTGATTTTTAGTGTGTTCCATGTGGTGACGGCTGTTTCCTCTGCTCAACTCTTTGTGCATGTGAGGTGTTGCATGCAGTCTGTGGCCTTATGTCTTGCAGATCATGATGTCTCATTTCTGCCTGCCACAGCAAGTAGAAATGCAACGCCGTCACCGTTTTCTTCTCTTTATTGCAACCAAGGTCGGAGAGAAACAGAATTAAACAGGATTAAATAGAGAACCAGAGATGAGAAGGGGAAGCTTGGGCCTTGTCACATCATCCTACGAGCTGCAGCTTCACCGCTCATAGGCTTAAAGTGCTTAAGGTACCTAAGGTACGGTACCTAAGTAGAGATGGGATCTTAGCAGGTAACGCCACGTGAAGATAAGGAGGTAGGCGAGCAGAACCGCCTTTAACGATAAGCCCAAGCTCCCACTTGCGGTCCGCTTCCTGCCACCTCGCCCAAAAATCTACCGGCAGGTTGGCACATTCTGCTTCTATCACCCAGCTTTGTTTCCCGACCGCCGGACTTTGCACCGACTTCGCACCTCCTCTGCTTTGAGTTGTCTGCATGCCATATTTCGCAACAGCATCCGTCGATATCCTCTGAATACCTTACTCCTGCCGAGTTCCTGCCATCGACCAGCGAGACGAGACGATCCAACTTTGCTCTGATATTATACAAACACCATCTACGGTCCCCTCACCGTCTCGCGTGCTCCCCACCACCAAACTAAGCTCGGCCCTCTCCAAGTCTGCGACGACATTTACGAGCGCCTCTCTTTGTCGCTTCCCTCGACCGTTCGCGACCACGCCGACCTGCCGTCCAAAGTGGCCGGTCATCGCCAGAAACATACCCCTCTGTCGGCGCGGCTCCAGCAAGCCAGCTCGTCGCGCCGATGTGGTGGTTCCTCCGAATCGTCGCCAGTGCCATCTTCCTGCTGAGCATAGTCCTCTCCATACCTGTCGCCTTTGATGTCGGCGGTAGGGACAGTGGACTGGCCTACAGTCTTGCCCTCTCCGCCTTCTACTTTGTCTACTCGACCATCGCCGTCGTCACCCCCGCAAAGTCGCGCGTTCGCTGGGCCATATCCGTCATCCTTCGCCTCTCCCAGTGGGTTGTCATTCCCGGACTTTTGATCTGGGCCCTCAGCCGCTTCGCCGTCGACGCTGGAGCTACCAACTGGGTGGAGCGGACGCTGCAAGGCATCACCACTTCCAAGTCGACGTCATGGGGCGAATGGGTATTTGGCGAGGGTGGTGTTATTGAGACCATAACCTTGGGCGGTTGGGATAAGACGTTGAGGTACTCAAGTCCCGTTTTCCAGCTTCTCGAGGGATTCTGCACGCTCCTTGTCATTCAAGCTGCCGGACAGATCACCAAATGGCTCGTCAACAGAGGACGAAGCGACACTTGGATTGTACGTGGAACCCCTCTCCTGTGCCCCCGACTCTGTGAGACCCAAGCCCGTTCACGGACAGACTGGCCGTGGTCCTAGTCTTACAGCTCCGGATCGCATACTTTGACTTTGTGCGAGACTTACTGATGGCTTTGACAGATTATCCTGCTCGTTATCTCTGGTAGCGTGCTTGCGAGCGCCGTTTACTTTCTCTGGCGTGTCGCCCACTTCCCTTGGATTGACAACTCGGATGCCATCTTGATCGGTGTCACCATGACTTCAGCCTTCTTCCTGGGCGCGTATGGAATTGGCAGCGGGCGCGGCAACCCTATCGAGTCGTCCCTGCTTTTCGCATACGTCGTCCTCTGCGTCTACCAGATCTTCACCGATTACCTCCCCTCGGAGTCCACCGAGGCGGATCAACACCAGTCCTCACAGCCCGACTTCCCACCCTTGCCTCCGATTATCATGGCGTCTTACTCGACTCTACTCCACATGCTCGGCTCCCTTCCCCATGCCGTCCACTCGTCTCTCAGTCTTCTCTACGCGGCGTTCCAGACCATTACGCCTTCTGTCATCATTTCGCTCGCCTTCCGACTTCTTGTCTTTTACTGCGCTACACGCATTATTCCTGCCGTCCGTGAATCGGGAGCCAGGGCTCTCATGGAGGAACCGACTCTGGAAGAATCAGACGCTGCCAACTGGCTCCTTGGGATTATCACCTACTTCTCGCCTTCGATTCTCATTGCCATGTACACAAGCTTGCTTCTGCAACACTTCTCAACAAACGATGGGCCAGATGGATGGACGCTGAGAGGAGGCGACCCCGGCGGCAACGTCTGGCGCTGGACGAACGTAGCAGCAACAATGACCCTGTACGCAATTGAGTTGTACTTGGGCAACGAGGATCACGATGGTGGTCTGACAAATCACTGGAAGATGGATTGAGAGCGAGGTTATCAACACTTGCGGAAGAATTCGACAACATCTGCTTCTCGATGACATGGGGGCTTACTCCATGTTATCAGGATTTAATGAGTGCAGTCTGCCTAGGCAGGTTAACAATAAAACTGATCGATCAACGTACATAGGTCGTAATGACACACGGGCTAAGGGCACGGAAAGGGGATAGGACAGGCACAGAAATACGGCGTTTAAGGGGTGGAAGTCTGCATGCTCGAACGGCGATTCTTTTACTTACGGACTCGGCTGAATAGCCAAAGGGAATTTTGACGATTATTGCTTGAGAGCACTGCCGGTGCCTGGGCTTTTCCAAACTACCCACATTAGGAAACTCATCTTTAAAATCGATGGTCTTGGAAATATGTTCATTGTTGGTGACCTGCGCCTGATGGTTCCTGATGCAAGTTAAGTCTCTACATGATCAGAGTTGAGGTTCGGACGGGCTGCAAGCCGCTTGGCCATAACCACCGGGCGCATCCACTTTGACGTTGCGCTCGCTCCGTTGCGACTCCGTCTTTTCTGGGGCCTCGGCAACTCCAACCTCACCTCCTCTCTCTCACTTACACCTCTCCATCCCACACAACCTCCACTTCTCTCGGTGGTCTCTCAACGTCGTTTTCTCTTTGGAAATATCCGGTCCCATAATATTACACTTGTCCCATTTCAAAGTTGACTCGGCACACTGCTGTAGGTAACAGCAAACGTCGTTGCATCCCCCCAACAGTAGCCATGGCAGCAACGCACAACCCGATGCGGGCGTCCACCCCGCCGCCCGCCGTCTCCAGGACGACGATCCACATGTCTGGCCTCTTGTGTGACGTCTACGGTCTCGAGGAGCTCGTCGCGCGCGAGAAGCGGCCGTCGGCGGCGTCGTGTCTGTGGCTTCATCACCCGCGGTTGCGGGCCAAGGAGGATATGGAGGATATCGCGAGCCGTGTGATTTCCCGGTGGGAGGAGAAGTCTTCTTCTTCGTCGTCATCTTCTGCGTCTGGCGGCGGCGGCAGAGCCCTCATCGCCGTGGCGTTTGACCAGCAGAACCACGGCACCAGGACGGCGTCGGCGACGGCGAGGGACAGCTGGCGCGAGGGGAACAAGACGCACGCGCTGGACATGTGGGGGATGGTTTCGGGTATGGTGGCGGATACCAAGGGGCTTCTGGACGTCGTGGAGGGGTACGTGAAGATGGAGCTGGGGCAGAGGGATGGGAAGGCGGCGGAGGGGTGGGGGATTGATCAGCATCTCGTGCTCGGGGTAAGTTTGGGCGGGCATAGTGCGTGGCAGACTATGTTTAGGGAGGAGAGGGTTGAGGCTGGGGTTGTGATTATTGGGTGTCCTGATTATATGGGTGAGTCTTTTCTTCTTCTTCTTCTTCGTCTTTCTCTTCCTGGGGATGGGGAGATACGTTGTTTTGAGAGGTGAGTGGTGAGAAGGGAAGAGACCGGGCTGATTCGATGTGATGGAAAACAAACAGCTCTCTTGTCGGACCGGGCAAGGTTATCCAAGCTGGCAACCTTTTCCGCGCAAGACAACGGCGCCTCGTTCCTGGGTAGCAGAGACTTCCCGCCCGACCTCGTGGCCTCTTGTCTGCGCCACGACCCGAAGGGTATCCTATTTGGCACCGGTGCCGTCCCAACCCCGGACAGTCTCACCACCGAAGACAATGCCGAAGAGCGGAAGCGTCTCCGCGGCGTCCTGGACGGCCTACGCCTGCACGGTAAGAAATTCCTGGTCTGCTCCGGCGGCGAGGATAAGCTCGTTCCATACGCCATGTCTGCGCCGTTTTTGGAGTTCTTGACGGCTGCGACGGGGACGTGGTACCGTGATGCTGGGGTTGAGGTCGAGAACAAGGTGTACGAGGGGGTCGGGCACGCATTTAGCGAGGGGATGGTGGAGGATTCGGTCAGGTTTTTGGTTGATGCTGTTGCCGGGAAGGGTGCCGGCGGCGTGGGGGCTGAGGCTGGTGAGAAGTCGAAGATTTGAGGCACTGGCAGCAGAGTAATGCTTAACAGAGGGGGTGGTCAAGGAGGTTGAAGACAAGGGTTGAATATGTATATACGTAGGTATTTAACTGTGTATGTATACATAACTTCTAAGCCCACGGCCTCTTTGCATCTTCCACGAGTGCCTCGTGCCCGTCTATGATCCTAGTGACGAGACCACTCTGTCTCCTCTCCTCCTCGCTCGCGAAAAGGGTATCTTCCAAACCCCACGGATTCCTCGCTCTCCTCTTGCCCGCTAAACTCAGGCCCACGCCGTGCGGGTCAACCGTCCACTCGTCCGCGGCGTGCTTTACGCCCGCGATGGCTCCGGCTTTGGAACCATTACCACTACCACCTTCGTTGCCCTTGTCGTCCTCTTCGTTCTTCTCCTCCTCAGAGGCGGCGGCGGTTGAGCTGACCGAGCCAGCAGCACCAGCAGCCCCCTTCATCCCCGGCGGATCGATCCCAACATATCGAACCTGATCCAACGGAAACCCTATGGCAGCGCAGTGGCCGTCGAGGATGCGAGGCTTCTTGAAGGCGTGGCTTACGACTGTGAGGGTCCGAGGGTAGGTTGCGTAGAGGCGGCGGAAGAGGAGGAGGGAGTGGAGGATGTTGTGGTAGGAGTCTAGAGCGAGGGTGTCGGTGTGGATGAGGGATGTTATGGGAGGTGATGATGATGGGGAGGGGGAGGGACAAGTAGGAGAGGAAGACGAGGGGGGAGGGAGGATGCCAAAGTAAGCGTTTGCGGCGGCGAGGTTGGCGTAGGATTCTGCTTCGGAGAGGCGTGTTTCTTTGCGTGTCGGACCTCTTTGTAATCGAACGAGTCGTTAGTCTTGATACTTGGTAGTTTTCTTCATATCTACAAGACGTTGCTGCGGCAAAGAACAAACCAAAGATGCGTGAAAACGGCAAGTCACGAAATGATAACGAGCGTGAGCAATGACACTGCCAATACTCGAACAGGAACAAATCATTACCTTAAGGCAAGGTAGGCAATCGCTGGAGGTAGTACAAGGAAAGGTCGGGGTTTGGCTGCATCTATAGTTACGTACCCCGAAAACACGAGCGCGGAAGCCGGGTACCCGTCCCGCAGCGCCGTCAGCCCGGCCTTGATGTGCTCGATAAACGTCGGGGTCTCGCCGGTCTGGAAGTCGGCGATGAGCCACTCGGACTCGGCGCGGCCGTTGGTGGGGCCGCCGGTCCAGATGCCGTGGCAGCAGACGACGATGAGGTTGGTTGGTGCTGCTGTTGATGTCATGGCTTCGATCCTTTTGCTGTGCTCCCCTCTTAGTAATATATCTCCTCGATATGTGTGATGGAAGGGTGCTGGTGTGTTTTGGGGATTGGGATTTGATGTGCATTAGATTGTGGATCATGTGATGTTGTGGCGGTGAAAGTTGAGACTTCCCGTCTCCATTACATAGGTATCAAGGATTGCCAGGTATTAAATATCATTACCTTGTGCTATGAAGTCGTCGCCATTGTTGGCGTGTTATTACATGAAACTCTAAACGCATTGAAAATCCATGATGGACATTATGCTCATGAGGTTGCGAATTCATAATTACTTTTGATATCCCGTGACTGCTTACGACAAGATTCTATATGCGTCACCTACCAGGTAGAGACTCCCCGTCAAGACAACCGGGCCATCTTTGGCGGTCTCAACAGCCCATCTCGTAGCCTCTTCGAGACCATCTTTGCTTTCAAACACCTCTTTGGCGCCCGCGTTCGAGGCCATCTCCCTCAAGGTCTGAAGCGGCAAAGGCTCGACCCAGGGCATCGTCTCCCGCCGAGAAAAGCCCACGCAGGCGACGTTGTCTCCGGGTCTGAGCAGCGTGCGCAGCATACCGCCGGCATCCTTTCCGTCCTGCTTCGATACCGACACGATCCACGTCACAGGCTTATCGGCTTCTCGCAGACGTCGCTCGACGTATGTGGACAATGTCTCGGCTGACTGTGGGTTGTGAGCACCGTCGATGAGGATGGGCTTTTCCTTCCGCGACGGATGCTTCGCCTCGACGTTCAACCACGATAGCCTCCCCAGGTGACTGACGTCCTTCAGAATCGGCAGGGCCTTTTCCACAGAAAGATTAAGGTGCGGGTAGGCGAGTTGGAAAGCCGCAATGGCGCACGCCATGTTCTGCGCCTGATGCGGCATTAGCTCCGAGTCGTACAGAGCCTCGAGCAGACCGGGCTGGCTCGTGGTGAGGTGCAGTGGCGCCGAGACGCTGGCGGCATGTTGCCGGAAGACCTCGAGGACCTCGGGCGGGTTGCTGCCGTCGACGACACACGGAACGCCGGCCATCATGATGCCGGCCTTTTCCTTGGCGATCTCGGGCAAGGTGTTGCCAAGGAAGGCCTGGTGGTCGAGGCCGATCTTTGTGATAACGGTGACGCTCTTGCGGCGGAGGGCGTTTGTGGAGTCGAGGCGGCCGCCGAGACCGACCTCGACGATGCCCATCTGCACATCAGCGCGGCTAAAGACGCCAAAGGCGATGAGGGTGGTCACCTCAAAGAGGCTGAGGGCTTCCTGGGCGGCATCCTGTGATAGGCGAGCCTGGTCGTCGGCGATGATCTTGCGGTTGACGTCGGCGTAGACGTCTTGGGCCACGGGCGTGCCATTGATCTTGATGGCGTCGCGCGGCTCTATTAGGTAAGGGGAGGTGAAGAGGCCGTTTGAGATGCCAAAAGATTTGCACAGGGCTGATAGGTACGTGCAAGTGGTGCCTTTGCCGTTTGTGCCGGCGACATGAATAGCATCCCATTTCTGGGGGACACCTTCGAGGGCCCGTGAGATGCGGTGCAGGCCTAGGCTGATGCCTTTCATTGCCATGATGTCTGTCCTTTACCCCAGCGAGGTCTTGGATTTGGTGGAACGGAAGATGACGGAGTGATGGCAGTATCCGGATGTTAAAGCCCGGAGGATCACCAACGGCCTATCCGTATCTCGGTTTCGGCTCTGGATCCGACGGACACTTTTCGCATAGGGCTGTTCGGACTTCGTAGCCCGGCAACAGCTGGTTGTTGCTTTTCTAACCCCTCAGAAGTGAGTCACTGAAAGTCTGTGGGAACGATAGGTCTTTGATCATGAGAGTCGTGACAGGCGCCGAACGATGTCAGCGAGTGAATGTTACTGAGCATTCCAGATCTTCCATTTACATCTGATCCTGAACGTTAACGGAGCGGGTGCCGTTAGGTGCAGGCAGGCACGCAGCGGGAACGAAGCTCAACCTGAGCAGGTGCGCTGGGCAGGGTTCCTGCTGGAACGGCAATGCCAGGAGTATGTACCTGAGCAGGAGCCAAGGCAGGTACGTATTCCGAATCGAAATGCATTGGATCCAATGGAAGTTGGCAAGTGCCGCTCCAGCCACACTTCAATTGCAGGCAGGCATGCAGATAATGGAAGGCAGGAGTGAGTGGCAGGCTCACCACGGACCAGTGACCATGAAATGGGAAGCCCCCGTGATTGGCCAAAGATGACTTGCTTGATGAAGCCGCGCCACAAGGGGGGAAAGAGAAAGACGCAGACAGCCAGAACTCCGTGACTGCGACTGCGACCGGGGAGGTATGGCGTGGCCAGCCACTCACAAAAAAGAAGTAAAGCGGCTATTCCCCAAAGACCCGCGCTTTTCCCATTTTCCTTCCTGTTCCTTTTTTTCGTTTTTTAATTGTCCCGGAGCCTTTCTGCCTTTTACCCCCCTCCCGACTCCCGTCCTCGTCTCGCTCCATTTCCTTCTTGACCGTCAATCCACGTCCAGTCCCAGTGGCCCCGTCCCCGTCATTCACTGACCTGACCTAATACATACCCCAACCTAAGTCCAAAAGTCCCCAGGCAATCCTCGCTCCCGCCTTCCCGCCTATCCGCCCCACGAAGAAAAGCCATTTCCGCTTCGCGCAACTCGCCAATTCCATCGCGAATCCATCGCGAAACACGGTACCGCGGCCCCATCGTCCATCACTCTCATCACGACCACAATCGCATCAATCTTGCCATCTTGCGATCAAGTCGAAACTTTGCGCCACCGACCTATCGTCCCCGCTGCCTTTGAATTCATTCGTCGGGCGCGCGTCATTAGTCGGTCAAAATGGGCCTCCCGTAAGTTTCTCGCCTACCCCTGCGGCTTTCCTGGTCGCGCTGCATTACCTTTGCCTTTGCGCCTGGCCTGTGGGACGCTGGCTCAATCTCGGCCTGCCCAGTCGCATCGCGTAATCGCAATCGCTTCCACTCCAATGCCTCCATCTATATCCATCTCCTTCATCATAAATCCTCCGCATACTCTCGTTTGCAATTCGTCGACTGCCTCCAAAGACTGCCTTGGCCACGTCGTCGTCGTCCCCGCCGCCGCCGCCGAGTTGCAATCCAGTCGCGGTGAATGCAGACTGCTTCATACCCTGGCCTCGCATCCCATCACTAACATCGCATCTTCCCAACCGCAGATTGTTCATCGCTCCCGTCGAGTCAGATGTTCCCGCTCAAATCGGCGACAAGTCTGCAGCCACTCGACATCCTCGCTCTACCATTCGCCGCAGCCGCCGAAGCGACGACACGCGCCCCTTCCGCCGTCGCGCCGCTCTCCTCCGCGACAACTACCCCACTCCCGGCCCCGAGCCTATCCCGCGCGCCCGGTATCCATGGATCGAGTCTGGCCACCCTCCGCCTCCGGAGGCATATGTTGCGCCCCCCTCGCGATCGACACCTCCGGTGCCCGAGCGCCGCAATCCGGCTGCTGAAATCATCGAACGTGTAAACGAAGCACGCAATCGTCAAGCCGATAGCAATGAACCCAGTGAAGCTCGTCTGATTTCCATGTACGGCGATGAATGGGTATTGAACCGTATGCCCAGGCTCTCCAACGGGGTTACCGTCACACCCCCGACCGGGGAAGAGGATGCCAATTGGCAGGAACCAGACCGGGCCCAGCTTGAGGGCTCAACATCATACGCCAACTCTAGAGAACGACGGAGGTTCCGTCGGGCGCAGCTCGATCGCATGTCAATGGTAGGCTTTGTCGGGTTGTGACTTAGGATTACGCTGTTGACTAACATACCAAGTAGCCCGCCCCACCAGTTGCAGCACGCTTCGACCGCAGTCCCGAGCATGCAACTTCCGCCAGGTTTGCGGGACGTATGCGTAGACCGGACTTGGAATCGCAACCAGACCGCGCATCTTTATCGCGGCGGGTACGCCGAATTCGTCCTTTTGGGCACTTGATTGAGGCTTCTCTTGCAGACGGCCTTGGCGACCGTAACAGAAGCATCAGTCCTGATGAGGATGGCGTCTGGGACACACTGTTGACTACTCTTACGCCGGACCCGCAGCCTCCAAGCGCTGGGTCGTCTTTCGCCTCTGCTTCGGCGTCTGCGTCTGCTTCTGCATCGCAATCACAGAGCGCCGGCGCATCATCTCGCACGTCTGTGGACAGACCCGAAAGGGCTGAGGAGTCTACTGAGCAACCTTGCGAATCCGGACTTGAAAACTCGGATAGTGAGGGTCATGAAGACTTGCACATGGGAAGGGGCTGGCCCGATCACTGGACGATGAACTACCCGTCCAGACACCGGCGGTTTGTCGCCGACTTGGATGCGAATGATCCGAGCAGAATATCCTTTGTTCGGGGAGACGGGGCTATGAGGGCTATGAGTAGCCGCGACATCGAAGAGATGCGAAGTCGTCGGCGACTGGAGCTCGCTCGCCACTACAGGATCGCAACTCGCGATCCCACCCCGCTACCGGAGCTGCTCGACCACATTGTCAGAGATTCCAGCGAGGAGTCCCGCGATGCAGGCGGCCAAGGGGATGGCGACGGTGACGCAGGGCCCCCGAGCCGCACCGAATCGTCCAACGACAACGCGCTGGAGGGCATGCAGGAGATTGTACGGCATCTTGCGCGGCGGCAAGACATTCCCGACGAGTGGTGGGCAGGTGCCGGGCTTTCCCGGACTCTGCCTGAGGAATCTTGAAGAAGGCGGGACTATGCATGATCTTTTTTTCCACGTTTGAAACGAAAAAAGCGAAAAGCCTGGGAACTAGAAGAAGCTTCCCAAGGCATGATGTTTGGAGTACAAGGGGCTTATAAGGGGCTTATAAGGGGCTTATAGGATCTGCCATGGGCGGTGGTCAGGGTCACTGTTGGGTTTTCAACGGGCGCCATGCAGGTATCTGGGCGGGCCATCTGTATAATACGTGTATCGTGATGGAAGCGTGACGGGACAGATCCAGATCCACAGGATCTATACTATTCTTGAGGCGAGAACCATCAAGACAAAATGGAGTGGCCGTTGGTCATATGATCTTCCCGAAGAGTTCTTGTGTTTAGTTGATTGACGTGTCGTGGTATGCTTTGTAACATTGGACGTGAATACCGTAAGATGGAGGGGGGTTCAAGAAGTGATCTCCCCATGTCTCAGTCGAGAAAGTGAGACCGCGAGGGGTATGTTCATGTCTCTGCTGTTTTCTCTTTTCGGTCATCCGGCTGATGGATCTACGGATCTACGGAGTATGGGAGTCTGTTTATTTCTTGACTCCAGAGCGGGGAGGGGGTTTGGGGAGCTCAGGAATGTATTTTGTGACCCAATATGGAAGACTCCGCGTTGTGTTATTTGGATGCTTGTTTGGGATAATATTGGCAGCGTGCTTGGGCAGTTGAGATGAGATGAGACGGGATGAGATTAGATCTTGGAGCATTGAAGGGAGACATTCCGTACGGATGACCAATTCAAGGATGATGACGCAAATCAACTTTGGTAAGGATAGGATCGTGAAGGAAAAAGAGTCGTGGTTCTTGGGATCTGGTGCAGACGTTCGCGGCTCGGCACGGGTTCGCTGGGACTGGCCACTCACATGTCACGACGAAGGCGGCGGCGTGCCTTAGTGTGTTTTGTTCCCGCGCTGATCACCTTAACCTCAGCCCTTGGGTGTGTGTGTGTGTGTGTGTGTGTGGATGTATTGAGCGAGCGCGGTTAGTGTCATTCTTTTGTCCTTGTCTGGTAGGTGAGTTCTCATAAGCGCTTGGATGGGGCAGTATTCGTACGAATACCAAACGAGAAGAGTGTGTGATAATTACTACGGAGTAGATTCCACGAGAAATTTAGAAAAAACGACGTCAGGTAAGGTAAGGTAATGAGAGGGGGAGTTGGTGGCCCTGTCGCTGACATGGGGGAAGGTAGGGGTAGGTATCCGTATTACCGCAACGGGAATTGTTGATCTGTCTAGACGAGACACTGTCACGCCGTTACCACGGCGAAGAGCGGTTCTCACAAAACAATGCTGGTAGTCTGGGTTCCTGTATTTTACTGTTTATAGATTGTAAATCATCTGAAGGGGGGCTCAAGAATGCAAGGTATCTATCTCGTAGGCGCGTGCCATATCTGGGGAAGATCAGGCACTGGATAAAATGTTAGCTGTCTGTGTAAGACGGTGGCAAGGTACGGATAGACATGGAGCGCATTGACCATGGAGAAGCAAGAAACCATGAAAGTTCAGAGTCAACAGCCGAGGAATTGAGCTAGGTCCACTCATGTTCATTACCTTACTATGTCGTTCATAAATGGCCAAGGCGAGGTGACGATGAGAGAGGAAGAAGGTTGAAGCTCAGGTCGGAACGTTCCTTTGGTTGTTTCCAGTTCAGGTCGGGTGCGTGTTAGCGCGCTGGCGGAGCCCTGGGGCGACGTGCGAGAGCTTCTAGCGTTGCTAGCGCGAGAGGTAGGAATGGAAGCGTGCCGGACTGCCCAGGGCAAGTCTCTTGAGGTGTCCCACCTTCCAAGGGCCCCCGCCTGCTCCTTAGCACCGATGGTACCCGGGCTCTGAGTACCTTATTATTAAAAAAAGTTAATTCTTTCTAAGTTATAAGTATAAGAATATAGTTTTAATAAAATAGTATAGTACTTACTTAGTACTTAAATTAAGATACTTTTTTAAGCTTATTATAAAAAAAAAATAATTATATTATTAACTACTTATTATCGAGGTCCGTAAGTAGTACCATAGTTTTAATTATAATAGCTTTATTTATAATAAATAAAAAGTCTAATTATAAGTTTTTTAAAAGTTTTTAATTAAGAGCTATAAGAGCTTTTAAATTAAGTTAAAATATTTATTAAAATACTAATAACTAAACTAACTTTATAATAACGACTTTAATAAAAGACTTAATAAATAATATTAAAATCCTTATTAATATTAAGTACGATTTACAAAGCGTAGTAACGTAGTTATAGAATATTATTAATATATTTTATATTAAAAAAGATATTATTAATATTAATAAAATAAATAGGGCTATATTAATATAGTACCTCGGCTTTTTTTTATAGTTCGAGGATAATTATTTTAAATAGTATTAAAAATTTATTAAAAAGCTCTCTTAAGTATTTTAATATATTTATTACTATTTTTATAATAATAAGATTCTTAGTACTTATATATAAAAATAGGTTATTTATTTCTAAATAGTAATATTAGTTTATTAATAAACTATCGAAACTATAATTTTAGCGATCCCTTAACGAGGGAGAGGGTAAAATAAAAGAAAAGATAGGTAACTTATAAAAAGGGTTAAGGTTAAATAGTGCGGAATTCGAGGGCAGGGTAGCGTCTATATGTACTGCGGTAATCCTCTAGTAATGCAAAACGATGGAGTTAAACAGTGGGCACCCGGGCTCAAATTGTGGACAAGGGCCAGTTGGGAAATATGTAATCCTAGAAGCAGCCAAGACATGCCATCACACTGCATCGATCTGCTTTTCCCGGGGATGGGTGATTGTGATAATACCGTAAGTAATGGCGAGGTGGTGTTTGTGATAGTGACGGGACCTGGAGCCGTTAATCAGTTACCTTAAGGAACATTGTGCCTGAATGGACAGTGGTAAGATACCGGGTGCATCGCTGCCCTGCGGCTACCTGACCAGTGATGGCACACGCCCAGTGCCACTTCTACTGGACCTGGCCTGACCCGACCTGACGTTTCTACCATCCCTTCCCACACTTGTACAGCGAAGTGCCTTGGAGAGAGCCAAATGCGGTTGCGCGCGTCAGCACCAGCAAGTCGAATTTCTCCGGGCAGCTCTCATCTCGCTCTCCCGTCCCGTACCTTACCATTTGTTCTGGCCCAGGCGCCTGTACCTGACGTGTTTGTGTGCATGATGTGCGCGCGTTGTATGTGTAAAACTACCTAATCCTAGACTCACACATCACCTCTCACAAAATACATCATTTCCCCCAAAAGCTCCAGCTTCAGCTCAGAAAGTGCTGTACTGACATTTGTCTCGTGTGGTTTTTTTCTTCTCCTTCCCTTCCATTTGTCTGTTGATGTCCACATCATCCCTCCCACACCTCGGGAACCCCTCCGACATCATATCTGCCAGACCAACCCACCACCCACCCGACGACTTCGCCGCCCGCCCGCCGCCCAATTCCCCGTCCGCTCATTTACTCGACCTTTGCACCCCAAACCCCTCCACCGCTCCCGACCGGCAGACCGACCGCCTCTGACCCGATCGACCGGCTGCCGTTGACGACTGCAGCGACGACGACGACGACGACGACGACGACGACGACGACGACGTGGAAACCCGACAGCAGACGGCAAACCGAATTCCTTTGCCCCTCTGTCTGCCTTACCGAATCGCGGAGCGGAGGCACTAGCTGGCTGGCCTTTGCAACCTCCAAGGGTAGCCTACGACACCCACGATTGTTTTCTTTGTGTGTTTTCGCTGCCGTCATTTCGCACCAGTCTGGGCCTCCCGCGTTTGGGGAAATCACTCCCACCAGTTGCGCGCCCGCCCTCACGTCACCACCGCCTTCGTTCGACTGGCTTTCTCTCTCTCCTCATCCGCCGCATGCCCACCGACATTTTCGTGGTCTAAACGACTATTCGACCGCAAGCGCCAAAGAAGAACGGAGCCCAACGAACCGAGAATAACGTGCCCCGAACTGCATCCGACTGGCATGCCGTCCTGCTGCCGGGCAATGTGCAGCGCGCCCTCACTTTTGCCGTAACCGCCGCTCGCTTGAACTCACGATCGATCCTTTCGCTCGGCTTCCCTTCTTTCGAAAAGGCCAGGTCCTTCCTATACGGAGTCGCTTCTGCTTTGCGACGGTTCATGCCGACACCCTCGAAACCCCCGACTACGAGATATCAGCCTGGTGATTGCGCCAAGCTTCCCGTCCGCCGACCACCATGCCCAATCCCTCGCCGCCGTCGTCGGCCTCGTCCTCCGTCGAGCGTCAGTACCATGTAAACGGCAGAGCCGCCGTGGTTGCCTCCCGCGAGAGGAGTTCAGGAACACCGCGAAAGGAAAAACAGGGCCCAAGAGAGAGCTCCGCGCTGCAAGACCCGGGTTTGAAGGATTATGTGCGTATACCCGGCTCTGAGGACTCGTCCAAGAGTGAGAGAAGGGGAGATTGGGGCGAGGAGAAACTATGCTTGAAGGCCGCAAAAGCTGACCAGTTTCTCGATACAGCGTCTGGGAGAATGTCTCGGCAAGGGAGCCTTTGGATCCGTCTACAAGGCTTTCAATTGGGGAACGGGCGAGGCTGTTGCCGTCAAGCAGATCAAGCTCGCTGATCTGCCCAAGAGCGAGTTGCGCATGATTGAGGTATACTCTGCCCCTCACTCGCTTGCCTTGTCGGTGGGATGCCGAGACTGACCTTGTCCTACCTAGTCTGAAATCGATCTTTTGAAGAACTTGCATGTAGGTGCTTCCAACTCAAGAAACTATACAGGGTCCTTTGAGCTAATAGTGCTTGTAGCATGACAACATTGTCAAGTACATTGGCTTCGTCAAATCGGCAGACTGTCTCAACATCATTCTCGAGTAGGTCAAGCTCCGGTTTCTGACTTCATCCGATCATAGCTGATATGTTGGCTCAGGTACTGTGAGAATGGCTCTCTGCACTCAATATGCAAGTCATATGGCAAATTTCCCGAGAACTTGGTCGGCGTTTACACAACACAGGTTCTGCAAGGATTGCAATACCTTCACGATCAGGGTGTTATCCACCGAGACATCAAAGGTGCCAACATCCTCACCACCAAGGACGGCAAAGTCAAGCTCGCAGACTTTGGAGTTTCGACAAGCACACTCGCAGGCGGGCAAGACAAGGAAGCGCAGGTCGTTGGTACCCCCTACTGGATGGCACCAGAAATCATTCAACTTTCCGGCGCCAGCCCTGCGTCTGATATCTGGAGTGTTGGCTGCACGGTCATTGAGTTGTTGCAGGGCAGGCCGCCGTACCATAACCTTGCGGCTATGCCCGCGCTTTTTGCCATTGTCAACGATGACCATCCGCCATTGCCTGAGGGCATTTCACCGGTTTGCGCCCCGTGCCCCCCCTATTCTACGCCTGGGGCACCTATGACTAACACGACGTAGGCGTCTCGCGACTTTTTGATGCAGTGCTTCCAGAAAGATCCGAACCTAAGAGTCACAGCGCGAAAACTTTTACGACACGCGTGGATCATCGGATGCCGAAGAAGCGATGCCCCCGTTTCCAAGGCGCCAGCTAATTTCAGTCAAGCCGTGGAGGAAGTGAAACAGTGGAATAAGGCTCTCAAGTCGTCCGAAAGCTCACTTAGGGCGTCCACCGGTTCCGACAGCGGGGTTCCCGGGATGCAAGGTCATCCCGGGTCGAGATACAGTGCCAACGAACCACTCCGACCGAGCCTGATCACTCAGCCCAAAGGACCTCTGGCTCTCGCGAAACCGAGACGAACACCTGAAGCCTTCAGGTCTCCAGAGCTTGCTGGTAAGCAATCATTTTGGTGTGGTTTAAGTCCGATCGAAGACGGCATATTGACTTGCTAGTAGATGACGACAATTGGGACAACGACTTCGCGACGGCCATTTCACCGAGCGCACTGCACTTGCCTCATTTGAAGCCGCAGGACAACTTTGGCGGATTGCTCTCTGCAGATAAGCTAAAAGCGTTCGCTTCGCTTACGGATGCTCGCAACGACTCGGAAAGTTACGATGACGACTTTGAAGGGGAACTGTTGACTATCAAGGGGCCGGGGCAATTTACAGATTTCGACTTTCAGGAACAAACAATTCGTCCGACACCTCGCAAGAAGAGCGACAAGTACCCAGAGCCGATGAAGCAGCAATCTCCGCCCAAGCCAAGTCCGCGAAAGGCTGGCCATGCGAGAAACCCGTCTCGTCCTAAATCTCCTGTCAAGCCGCAGCTAGGCCCCAGCAAGTTTGAGATACCAGCTCCTCCAGATCTGGCCTTCAGAGAGCAGAACACAGAAGACTACTCGGATTTGTTCATGGAAAACGATTTCAATGATGGTGGACTTAACCCTTTTATCAAAAAGGTCGACTCTCCTCAACTATTCCACCCTTCAGATCTCACGAGCCTGCCTCGTTCGACACAATCGCCCGTTCCAGGAAGCTCGAGAAGGCCGCCTAGCGCGAAGCTGCGGCCTTCAGTTTTGCCAGATCGGCCAATGCGAAGGACGAGATCATCGATTGAGATTCAAAAATTTGCCGAGGACGAAGGCGACGAAGATTTCTCCGACATTTTCGGCCCAGAAGATGCAGTCACAGAGAGGGAGGAGAGTGACAGGGGTTCAGAAGATGGCGGCCTCATGGTGTTATCCAAGTATTCCAACAACTCATGGCTCGGAGACGACGAGGACGAGGATGACCCTTTTGCTTCAATGGACCCAGGGTGGGACGAAATGGATCTGGAAGCAAATATTGCCAGGGACAGACACGCCAGGCTGGCGGGAAAGGTGGAAGAGCTCGTGCGGTCTTTGAAAACCTCGGAAGGCGAGGAAAAGCTGTGCGAGCTATCTGAAGACTTGGTAGGTCCACTCTGTCTGTGCCCCGAGAGGCGTCTTACTGACGTATGTAGCTCGCCCTGCTTTGGGAGAACACCGAGATCAAAGATCTCATCCTTAGTGCTCATGGCCTCTTGCCGATTTTGGAGCTTCTCGAGCCGTGTACAGTTAAGAGCAGGCAGCAGATGATTCTGTCTCTCTTGAAGGTCGTCAACACTGTACGTAGCTTTCCCCTTGTCGCGTAAATGGGCAACATGCTAATTCGTTGATAGATTATTTTGGACGATGTCGAGATTCAGGAAAACCTCTGCTTCGTCGGTGGCATTCCAATCATTACAAAATTCTCTGCCCGGCAATATTCCAACGAAATTAGACTCGAAGCAGCAGCGTTTGTTCGGCAAATGTACCAGACGTCCACGTTGACCTTGCAGATGTTCGTCAGCGCTGGTGGTTTGAATGTCCTAGTCGAATTCCTCGACGAAGACTTTGACGATGCTCGGGATCTAGTCTTGATCGGCGTCAATGGCATCTGGAACGTCTTTGAGCTTCAGGGCCCTACGCCAAAGAACGACTTTTGCAGAATCTTTTCGAGAAGCAAGATTCTCTATCCTCTTGCTCTGGTACTCCACAGAGTCCTCGATGAGGAGGGAGAAGATGAGCTTTCCGAACTGATAGAGGGCCGAATTGTCAACATCTTTTACCTATTTTCTCAAGCTGAGAACTATGTCAAGGAGGTTGTCGCTGATCGGCAAGTGTTGAAGAGTAAGTCTTGTGTTAGATGAAGCGATGGCTCATTACTAATAGCTCCACAGGCGTTTTGAAGGATTTGCGACGAATGACACCAAATCATCAGATCACAATGCTGAAGTTTATCAAAAACCTTTCCATGCTGTCTACGACGATAGAAACGCTGCACACAGCTGACGCCATTGAGTTTTTGATTGACGTTCTTGGCTATAGCATGAAGAGGGGACACCAGCATTTCCGAGAGATCTCCAATCAGGTCCTCAACACCCTGTTCAACCTCTGCCGTCTGAGTAAGGAGCGGCAGGAGGACGCTGCTGTTGGTGGCATCATTCCCTTGCTCATGAAGATCATGAACACAGATCGGCCACCAAAGGAGTTCGCGTTGCCCATACTATGCGACATGGCCCACTCGGGAAGCAAGGGTCGCAGATACCTCTGGCAGAATAAGGGGCTGGACTTTTACGTCTCGCTGTTGGCCGACCAATACTGGCAGGTTACGGCGCTGGATGCGATTTTTATATGGCTTCAGGAAGAAACGGCAAAGGTCGAGAGTCACTTGCTCGACGGCAAGTTTACAGACGCAATCGTTGCCTGTTTCCACACCAACAAGCTCAACTCTTTTGATGCCAACCTATTGGAGCCCCTATTGAAGCTCCTGCGCTTGAGCCCCTCGATATCAGGCTCACTGGCCAAGCCGGAGATGTTTGCCGGCATCGGCCAGAGACTAGGCCACAAAAAGGCCGTTGTGCGACTGAATTTACTACGTCTCGTCCGCAACATTATGGACGCATGCGAGCCGGAGATGCTGGGCATGGGCAACGGAAGCAGCTCCTTGAACGTCAAGCAAGTTAGGTCTCTGTTTGATACGATCCAAATGCTGGCCGACAAGGACACTGCTGTGCTGGTTCGCAACCTCGCGTCTGAACTTGTCAAGTCGCACAACGAGAGCGAACTTTATGATATGCCCTCGGAGAGAAAGGGCTCCTCTGGATCGGTAGCCTCCCGGCGCTCGGGATCCGGACCCAGACGGAAATCATCCTATACCCCGCCTGGACTTCACCATGCCCTGTCGATGCCTGCCACACCGACGCAATCCCAGTCCCGCCATCATCGGCTTTCACAAATACCACCAGGGTCAGGAGGCGCGTATATTGAAGTGGCCGCCAGCCCGAGAAGGACCGCTGTTCAGGAGCGCGAGGCCATCTTGTACCGCCCCAGGAGCAGGGATGGTGCCACAAGCATTCCCAGGCGGGTCAGCGGCGAGATGTCGTCAAGCATGCCTACAGGGCCATCCTCGGGCAAGAGCAGGTTGCCTCGTCACTCGTTTGCAAGACCCAGCAGCGCATCTGGGCAACCCCCCTTAATCAGATCCGAGAGTTCCCTGTCGAATAAAGAGAACCTCAGCAGAAACACATCAGCCGTGTTAGCACCGGCTGCGTCACCTGTGCTACCGACGAGTATGGCCAACAAGCGGCGAAGCAGAGCTCCAAGTTCGGACGTCAAATGGTCATCATAGTAGGGGCCATAACATCTCAGCCATCACCGGGGCTGTACATTCATTTTGGGCTTTTTTCTCTTTTCTTTTTCCTGTTTTGCATGTGCGGGTTGTCGGCTCGCAGGGCTTGGGCAAATGATACCTCGTGGGTATACACACGGCTGGCTGGGATGGGGAGAAGGAGGCATGATTTATAACGTTGCACACGTTTTTCTCTTTTCTGATACGAGATGAAGGCTGCTATGAGTCTTGGACGGGGGAAAGATGAAATGCAAAAAGGGGACCGCACTGAGATTCCTTGTGCAAACGTTGGCTTTGCGGTGGTAAAAAGTCCTCTAGGAGGGGAAAAGAATCTTTTGTCCTTTTTTGTTTGCAACTCGGATCATGAGAGGGAGCTTCAGTTTTGAGCTCCCTGCGATAGCGGATGGCATTAGAAACAAATTCATGGCAAGCAATTGCACCCCCATCTAACGGCTGCGGCCGACTATAGTTTCCCATGTCTGACTCCTTGATGCTGACGTTTCTGATCTCTCTTCTTACTTTCATGATGAGATGTCTCCCGTAGAAACCTGTCAAGCAACCAACCAACCGCTTCCCCCATCATCAGAAGACGTCAAGATGGCCCGGAAAGAAAATTCCTCTTCTTGACACCACCTCCCCCCCATCCTCAGACAAGCCACGCATCGCCGCCCAGAACCTCACTCCACACCTGTCCCTCGGCCCTCTCGAACCCCTTTGCGTCCTCCACGTCGGCGGCGCCAAAGTTGCGTCCGTACAGGTGCGGGAAGGCGGAGGGGAATTTGCCCGAGGGGGGGAACTCCCACTTCATTGAGCCTGAGGCGGCGAGGGGCGCGTAGGGGAGTTTGAGGAGGTGTAAGCTCGTGGCGGATGAGAAGAAGAGGTTTGCTGTGTTGAGGACCTGGTGATGTTTCCAGTGTGAGATTTTTTTTAGTTTAGGTAGTTTGATTGAGTGTATATTAGGCAGGTGTGGAAAGTCGTGCTGTGTAATAGTGTGTGGTGGTGGGTGGTTATGAGTACACGTATGAGAGTGAAAAGGCGAGTGTGAGGGAAATCGAGAGCGGAGGGATGTGAGATGTAGACTCGAGAGGACAGTACATGGAGAGAAGAACGGAGATAGAGAGCAGAGGAACATGACCACGGAGAATCCGGGTATGAAGAGAAGGAGAGGAAGTAAGAGAGATCATTCGTACCTGTTCCGCCGTACTCAGATGAATAAAGCCATCGTTACGATCGAGGTCCGAGAGGGGGAACTCGGTCGGCAGCGGCGACGGCGGCGCCTCGGGGACGATTTTGTAAATGTATTGCGGGGTTTGCGCGGGTTCGGCCATATTTGCAATCTTTACGGGAGGCCCGATATGAAAAATCTGAAGGTGGGTGTTGGAAGTGTATGTCTACCGGAATGCCGATGCTGCGTGAGAGGAGACGAATGACTTGTGAGTGGTTTGTGTGCAAACTGCTTATTTCATCATCCCACCTCCCAAGGTAAGGCAAGAGTCAAAAAGCCTCTCCCCACTTTCCTCTTCTGGAAGACGTACAGGCTTCAGCTCCGGCGGCTTACACCAAAGAAGGATGGAAACAACACACCTTTCTTCATCTCTCACACACACATGTCACCAACGAGCGATCAAGACACCACCAAGATCGTCATCAATGGTTTTTTATTGTTACAGAGACCTCCCGGTCCGTGTTTCCTTATCTCATTGATCCCTTTCCACAGCTTTCCCATACTCCGGGACGAAACCACGCCCCAAAGACAAAAAAACCGCCCCCCTCCGCCGCGCCCCCAAAGTTCCAACCCAACCTCCATCTCACACCTAGCTTGGATCACTGACTGTTGTAAAAAGAGACATCTACAAAATTTTGCAGATGACTAGTAAACTTTTGCTTTTTTCCTTATCTCTCTCCCCCTTCAATCCCACCAGAGATGCTGAAATACCGCTTCGAGTGCGTAGTCAAATTAGATTTGAGACAACCATAGCACCCCCAGCTGCATCCTCTCTATCTCTCTCACTCCCCTCTTCGACTTTTTCTGCTTTGTAGACTTCAAACTCTTGCTTGATATGGCTCAGTCTGCGCCTTTTGAAGCAGGTTCACCACCACCTTACGTGCTCATCCCCACGCGCGCCTATCGACGCGACGATTACTGTTGAATGTTGGGATCCCAGACTACCCTTTCGTCGGCTCAGACTCGCTGGTAGAATAGCAGGTAGGCAACCTTGTTGTCTTTGATGTTGTCCTTGGCCGGCTTTCCCTTGGACGCGGTGCCGTTGCCGTTGGCCACGGCGCTCCACTTCTTCTCGCCGCCCTTATCACCACCCTTGGCAGAGGTGGTGACCTCCTTCCAATCATCGCCCTCGTCGTCGTCTGCCATAGCGCCGAACCGGTTGGTCGACGCGTCACGCGACGCGGGACCTGATCGGCCCGTGTCCTTGGCATCCTCCTCCGCACCAGCCTCGGCCACGTCCTCACTGCGGACACGTCGGATGATCGTATCATCCAGGCGGATCCACTCATTTTCGTCTTGCCGTCGCACATCCACTGTGTAGTGACCGCCGTTGGCTTGCTTGCCGTGGTGGTAGACGACACCGATGAGCCTGTACTTGGGCATGCCGGCACCCTCGGAGACAAGAGCGTTGCGTCGTCGCTTCGAGAGAACTTCCGCGGGGAGCTGCAAGTCGAGAGGGTAACCGACCTTCTTGCCGATCTTGGTCGTTCCTTCAGTGTCGAACTTGAAGCGCTTCAGGTGAAGGATGAGAATCGGGGGCAAAGTCTCAATCAGAGTCTGCTTCGTCATGGGGGCAGCATCGCCCTGTAGCCTCTCGGGCACCGTTAGACCCTTTATCGCGTCGACAACGTTGTGAATGTACGGGGCGCCAATGTCCAACTGCAGGGACTGGAAAGGCTCCGTAGTCACCGAGTCCTTCACACCAGGACGGCGAAGCTCTGATCGATACTGTCCACTAAACAAACGAGTGATGGGCGTCGTCGAGCTGGCTCCGGACGAGCGCGTCTCAACTGCTCTCTGTCTCGATCCAACTTCAAACCACCCGTCTGCGCCGTCGTTCGACTCAACAACGCTGGCGGCGGAGGATGTAGGCCGGGTTTCAGCGGCCCCATTGGAAGAGCCACTCGTTGACATTACTTGGGCGCATTCTTCGTCGATGGCATTGAGAATCAAACCCAGGAACTCCTGAGCATCTTGCTGGTGTCCACGCTGTAGAAAAAGGTTAGCGACAAGTAAGGGAATGAGCCACGAAATGACATACTCTCATGCTAGCAAACGCCGGGAGAGGCTGGATGGCCTTGTACACAAACTCGGGAATGAACGAATCACCATATTGCTCCAGCTGCTCGCTCTTGAGCTTCCGGCGCAATTTCTCGACCGTTTCAGTCGAGTCGATGACCCGGAATTCCCTCATAAACATAATCGTGGCATCTATGACGGGCGTGTCGCTCTTGAACTTGTGCACAGCCTTCTTGCTGACCTGATCCAAGAAGTTATAGAATGGCGCACAGAAAAGAAGGACTTGCAAAACCTAGACTGACGTTAGTGGATTTCTCCGCTTGTGGTTTCAAGATACTGACTGAATTCATGTAGCACATATTGCCGGTGTTGATCAGGCCTCTCGGCTCGATGAACTGAACCCTGGCAGCATTGCTAACCCGGAAGTCTTGGATGGCAGATGCCAGAGAGTTTGTGTTTCCTGCAGAAAAGGTGGGTGCGCTGCCGTTGACAGCACCATCGCCATTTGTGGTGGCACCGTTGGCCGCGGCCGGAGCAACAGGGCCATTAGCAGCGGGCTGCGCCTTGGGAGCAGCAGCGGCGGCGGCTGCGGAGAACAGTCCACTCCATGACTTCGGGGCCGCCTTGGCGGGAGCCGCCGGAGGAGCCTCGAGCTTCTCTTGCTCCGTGCCAGCAACTTCCGTGCCCTCTGTTGCTTCAGCAGGCTTCGCCTCCTGAGATGCAACTTGCTTGGGCTCTTCTGCGAGCTGGCTGACGCTTGTTGCCTTAGCCTCCTTGGGGCTGCTCTTCGGAAGAGCTGGGATGACTGGGACAACAGGAACGGCAGGGCGGGACGCCGAGGCGTTCGAGTTGCTTGTCGTGGGTCTGGCCTCAGACCCCGGTACATTCACCTTCGGGCTGCCCATGTTTGAGACGCTAGTCGCTGACCTGTCACTCTCCTTAGGAGTTTCAGACGCCAGGGAGTCTGCTCTCAGGGTGGCACTCTCGGAGTCGGTGTCCTTGGAGTTCCAGGGCGCCACCTTCTTCGCATCGGCCTTCACTTGGAGGCTGTCCTCCGTGCCGCTTTTGGTGGCCGACTCGAGAGCGCCCTCGTGCTGCTCCACAGGCAGTGTCAGATTCTGAGCATTCGCGCTCATCAATCTTCTGCTCCGCCTTGACTTGGGAGCCCTTCTAGGGAACGGTGCTTGGTCGGGAGGTGTCCAAGGGAGCTTTCTTTGTTTAGCTACGAAGCCAGCATGAATAGGATCTGCTGGACTTACTGGTGCGCGAAATTCCTTTACATCTTTGGGAAGCTCTGGGCTCTCGGGAGCAGGGGCAGAGGCAGGGGCTGGGGGCACCGCGGCCGGGTGGAATGGCTCAGCGAAGGGCGTGACGACTGATGAAGACACGACCGAGGACACTACAGAAGGTGTGACGACTGAAGGCTCGGGCGTAGGTTCAACGTGCGGAGGCGGAGGAGGCGGCGGCGTCTGAACAGGGTTGACAGCAGGGACGGGAGGTGGGTGATACGGCGTTGAGAGAGCAGGCGACGGTTGCGAATACGGCTGAGGAACGCTCACGCCGGCCATGGGGACATATTGAGGTTGAGGCATGGCCTGTGGTGACCGCACGTAGGGCTGCTGTTGCTGATAGTGCATGTAGCCAGAGGGCATGCCTCCGTTCTGGTACTGATGCGGCAGCTGATGGTAATACGGCGTCGGCTGAGCGTAGGGGTTCATGTAGTTTGGATACATGGGCTGCTGCTGATACTGTTGATATTGCTGGTATTGCGCATACGTCGGCTGTTGCTGCATCCTCCGTCTGTTACCCCCTCCGGGACCACCACCCATATCGACACCTCCTCCTGGCCCTCCGCCCCCCGGCATGGCTTGCCCAGCCGGCAGATGACGATTGTTCATCCTGCCGGCTTGGGAGTCGTGTATTTGCAGTGATCGTCCACGGCTGGAACTATCACTGCCTTGAATCTGCGGCTTCCTTCAACACGGTTGTCGGCGCGTTCGCAATGGAGCGTCGACAGATTAGTCTGAGATCGGTTCGAGTATCGAGTATTAGGTTATTTGATCGTGTGGGATGCACGAGAAGGTAATATTTCCAATCGCCCTCAGTCGTGCGTCGCTCTCGTAGGGGTTGCGGGGAATCGTTGGGAAGAAAATGGGCCCGACTAAAGGATTCCGAACGAGCAAAGGGGGGGAGAAATAAAATGAACAAGTTGCTCGACACAGGTGATTAATCGCGCAGACACGGAGGGGCGAGCTGCGATGAAGGCAGCAACGGTGAAGGGTCGAGGATTGGGACGGGGCGACGGCTGCGAAGTTAGCTGTGCGGTTGCTTCCAATGGAGATGACAAAAAATTAAGCCGCGCGCGGGAGAGGTAGAACCGTAAACCTGGAGCTAGCGGGCAGCGGGCTCCGGGCTTTGTTGGCGCAATGCGATTGCCTGAGCCGAAGCCTCGCGCACAGATCACTATTCGATCATCGCAGGCTGGTATTGGGTCTCTTCTTCCGCAATTTGCCCGAAATCGGCCCCACTATAGCTGGCTGGGCCGGTGAACACACCTCAGACGCTCAGAGGTGAGCTCGGTGAGGGTGGATAGGATTCACTCTTCCGTGTCCCGGCGGGACTCTAGCATATACGCGTTGCGGGTGATCCATAGCTCAAGTCTGCACAGCTCCCTTTCAGCTTCTCATTGCTTCTTATTGGCATTAGAGCCTTGAATATCCCAGTCGCTCATCCCTCTGAAATGAACAATGCATGCTAGCTTAGCCTCGACGCTATTGTAAGTTTTGTTACGACGACTCAGTATACGCCCGGAACATGTACACCTGCTGGTTTAAACAAAATGCTCCTGTGCGCCTCGCTGAGAACCCATCATCGACAGCTGATTCACTCGTCCTTGAAGATCCAGCGTCCCCCTCCTCTCATTGCTTCCCGATATCGTTCTTGAATCATTTGCTTCTCCCTCTTCTCGCCTTCTGCCCTCTCAGCCTCGTCTTCCTGCGTAGTAGGGAAATCCGCGTTCCAGAAGCCCGGAGGAGATGCCCTTCGAGCGTAACGATGACGATGTTTGCCCAACTCATTCGCGAGTTGCCATGTTTTAGCCTCTATCCACAAGTCTTCCCTCTCTGCCTTGGACATCCCCAGAATGATAGTGATTCTGTCACCGAGATAATCCTCAAACAATTTGGTGTCTGATGCCGGGGTACGATGGACATTGTTCTTTTGAGCCAAAGCCATGCCGCGAAATTGAGGGCCACAGCAGTTCATGTCTGTACAACCAGGCAAACAGGCTCTGTCTTCTCTGTTCCTGACCACCTCCGAGAATGCGTAGTCGGAACCGCCGTTGAACTTTGGATTGACCTTGAAGTCTTCAAGCCGTAGGGAAGTGGCAGGCTTTGACCTTAATGACCCCTTCTGGGGTAGCGGCTGTGCCTCGACCGTCGCACGATTTCTGGGCTGCCCGCGGGCTGTGGTGGGCTCCGTGTTCTCCTCGTGCTCCCTCCGGCCGATTGGAGCTTCCTTCGACCTGTCCCGGCGTTCTTTATTGAATGGCAATTCCCGACGCTCGGGAAACTGCGGTCCATCCTCCTCCGCTCGACCTGTATCCCGAAGACGAGGTATTGACCGTACTATGGCAGGGGCTTGTTCTGGAGATGGTGCGTTCAATAGCGTACTCAAGCGACCGGGAGGCTGCGGGGTGCGGAAAAGCCCCGCCGGCTCTTCGCGGCCCGTTGTATCATAAACAAAGCCGTCCTCAGCCAAGCTCCTTATGCCTTGAGCGAGCCCTTTCCTTGTTGGCTTCTCCACGGTGTTCAACTCATACGGGCGTACCGGACGAGCGTTAGGGTTGATCGGTGTCAGAACCGCTGTTGAGTTGGGTATCCTGGTAGTCGGAGTGTTGGTGTTGTCGCGCCTGACAAAGACGGGAGCGGCTGTCTGAGCTCGCTCCATGTCAATTTGACCGGGCGTGGCCAGGGCATCAGCCCATAACCTATTCTTCCGTGGCGTGCTTAGTCTCTGACCGACCTCATCCAGGTCCATGCTCTCTTGTTGAAGCTGACTAGTAATAGGGCCAGTAGTAAGATTCGAGCTCTCAATCTTCACCCTACGTCGTCCTTGTTGTTCTGAGGAGGAATCGGCGTGCTTTCTCTTGCCTACAAGGCGCTCAGAGACGATAATAGGCCCGTCGGAGGAAGGCTCTGGTTTGATGCGAATGTCTGAATCCGTTTTGGCGGTCTGTCTCAATGGTGGAAGAGTAACAGCATCGGCGTCCTTACTACCCTCTGTCGTCTCCCCCTCCGTGGTATCTGCGGCAGACAGATCCTGCGTCTCGACATCTGATTGCACGGGAGCTCTCTCGGCAGAATATTGTCGCAAAGCCCGCGAATTGCTGAGTGTCGTCAAGATCCCGGTATCAGGATCGATTGTCAACCTCGAAGCCAAGTGAGCGCGCGGCCTGCTTTGCTCTTGAAGGCCTTCTGCTGTGTACGCAGCCGCATCGGTGTGACCATCACGTTGCTCCAAGACTTTGATCTTCGTCTCCAATTCTGTCGCATAGTCTTCCCATTTCTTGATCTCCTCCTTCCTCTCGTCCCTTCTCTTATTGAATTCTGCTTTCAGTATCCTGAAATTCTGGTCCAGGGCAGTGTATTTCCGTCGCAGCTTGTGGCTTTCCCGCAGCACGTTCTCTAGGTCGCCTCCATTCTCAGGACCATCTGCAGAGGCGGGGTCTGTGTTGGTGGCTTGGTCGTTGGTGACATAACTCGGCCGAGGGCTTCCTCGAGATGACTCGACAGAGCGATTTTGGTGATGGATTTGGAGGAGTTTCGTCCTCAGCTTCCGGTTTTCCTCTTCCAAGCGATCAACCTCGTCGGACCGAGACTTCAATATTTCGAGCTCGTCTGTGAGGAATGCGCGGGATCGATCGTCCTCCTTAAGCCTCTGCTCGACCTCTGTTGAGAAGCTAGTATCACATTGTCATTACGTCAGGGCATCTGCGTGTACATACCGCTGTCAAGTTGCTTGCTAACTGTTTCACACAATGCTTCGAAGGCATCTTGGATAGCCGCCCGGCCTTCCGGCGACCAGTTTTCCATGATTTACAACGGCAGCTACCAGGACACTTTGAAGCCTGCTTGGGGTTGTGTGGACGTCAGTTAGGCTGAAGCTGGGTTTCACGTGGGTGCGCGGGACGCCAAACTACCTTCAGACGCGCCTTCCCTGAAGCGCGTCGTGCCAAGACATTTCCAGATCGATCTACCCGCCACAAAATGATCCGTGCATCTGTGGCTGAATTGCCCACCAGCCACTTCTCAACTTACAGAGCTCCTGCTTCAGCCACCTAACAGGAACATGCTCTCCTCTAATATCAACTTATGCAGACTTCCTCGACGAGGATTTCTGGATCTCACATTCGAACTTTACGTTATCATACAATCTTTTCAAATTGAAAATGCCCTATTTGCTACTCCTCATTGATTCGCAGTTCCCGGTACCACTGCAACTTCGGGGTGACCCAAGCACAAAGGCCGGCGGTCTGATTCCTTGCACAAACCTTGCGATGGAGACTGACTGCATCGGAGCCACTTCCGCAGTGAGAATACCTTGGGCGGGGCGCAGGAGGAAAATGCAGAGCAACATGCCTTCGAGGCTTCGATCAATTGGTACGGCTGGAATGGCTCGTGATACGGGTACTGGTGGGCCTGCACGGCTACTCCGATATATCTACTCACGAACGTTTCAAAGCTAATAAGATTGAAGACACGCTCTGGTCAGTGGGCCCCCGAAATCCCCCACGGGCTACGGTCGTCCGGCCCGGCAGCTCTTCAACGGTCACCGACCCTGGCGAATGATCGTCGTAGGAGACTGCGACATGGGTTGATTCGTCGACCACAGAGCTGTCTTGTCTCTGACTCTGCAAGAGCTCGGTTGAGGCTCGAATTGGCAATGCCGGGCTTCACATATATCTCGCCCCTCGACCATGCATACCCGCGGGAACACCGGATCACTGATAATTCTGATGACCACAAAGCGCCACGTTTGCAATACCTGACTATAGGGAAACCGACTTATCACAGATGAGGCTAAAAGTACCGCCATTTGCTGTTGAAAGCATATGCGGAAGCTTGGAGATATCTGGCGCTCAAGCTGACTATCGCATTGTGCTTACTTAGGATGGACGAGAATTGCTCTCGGCACCATATGCGGAACTCAGAGCCAAGCTTTGAGAAGCATGTTGCACGTGGTCAGCGACTCTTCCTGCATGGCCTGGTGAAGGTGCTCGGTGTTCCGTTGCTGACAGAAGCGGCAAATACTTTTCAGTAGCCCACAAGATCTTTCACATCCGATGCCTGTTTGGCTACAGCAATCAGCGGGACTCGCAACGCTTGTCGATGCCACGTCTCCGCTCAAGAGATATGTGGCAGACAATCTAGCGGACAAATGCCGGTATCCATGAGCAGGCCCCATTGCTGGTCTCCGCGCCGCCCCCTATGACTTACGGGCTCTCCTGCATATCACTGCGGTGGTTTGTGGTTACATGCCGTTCTAGCGTCTTGGGTCGCAGGTGCGGCCTCGAAGAGGCCAGTGGTCCGGTAGAGACTCCACACAAGTCGCATTCGAAAATGCTTCACATTTGCAGAGATGCAATGGCGCCGTCATGTTTTCCCGGCGTCCGCCCATGAAGCTGTTTCGGGAAGGTCGCGACCATCGCCGCTTCATTTCTCGGGTGACAAGCCTGCGGACTATGCGCCTGGAGCCCACGAGGTCCGCGAGGAAGCCCGTCTGCTGCGTTGCAGCGGTTGGACACAAACCGCAGTTAACGATACCTAGCTTGCAGCTGCAGCAGACATGCATTTAGTTGCACAGTGCACCCAATTCGTTGCGCGTTCGTTGCGTAATGGCTGGCTAAGCGAGAGAACATTCGATGGAACATCGTTGCCAACCAACAATTGCGGCGACAACGGGCACAAGCGAAGACCATCGAATTGAACGACGTGCGGAAGACCAGCAGGCCAGGGCAAGTTTCTTGGCAGTTGTGCAAGCGTCGCGGATAAGGGAAGGGTTGCCGGCGAAGCAAAGTACGAAGCGAAGTGGCCGTCGGTTGAAATGGGTGACCGGGTTCATCCGGTCTACATGATTTCACAGGCCCGGGCGAAAAGCTTACCACCAACCTGAAATGGAAGACTGGCCGAGATTGAACGCGGCAGATCTGACCGGACCGGAGGTGCATCTCGATGGAACGAACCAATCCTCTGCTCTGGTTCGCCTGGATGAGCATGGCTAAATGCGTTTCCGAAACTCGAAAGTGAAATGAAACTCGTGGGATTTGTGCGTTTATTCCTCCAGTGAGATATCACGAAAAGGAGTTTGGGGTGAGGAGGATGTTGAAAAGGAGGTTGAAAAGCACGGAGCCGATGATCTAGGCTTTTTTGTCATTTTGGTCTTCTCTCTTTCGTGAATGGGGTTTGCCTTTTGATGAGGGGGACGCTGTCGATCTGGAGGGGCCGTCCAAGCCTCGGTTCGGTTTAAACCTACTTTGATGGCATCTCCGACAGGGCTGTTTATCAGCTTGCGTACCTGTGCCCTTGGGTAGCAGGTAGGCTGAACGTCCAAGGCAGATGACTCTTGAGTTGAATGAAAGTGTGACGACTAGACACCATGACACGGGAAGCTTTCTGAGAGCCATCCTCGAGTGTCGGTGTTCCGCCAATGATCTGCAGCAGGTTCACGAGCTTCTCGAAGCTAAAGCCGGAGCTGGAGCTAGAAAGCACAAACCACTGACACCAGCAGTGCGAAGGGACCACACTGAGGCATGTGTCATCCCACGGACGCACAACCATCTACAGCAACCACTTACCAGTGGTCAGGCCGGGATCGCGGGGTACGAAACTGAGGCATATGTAGCCGAGACTTCCTAACACAGGGTTAACAATACGCGGATTATGGGCATGCAAAGAGCGCTCGTACGGTGCAACCTCAGGTTGATTATTCAGATATTACATGGACAGCCAAAGCCCGCTGCCCAGGACGCCCGACGGCTGCTAGAGACAAAACTCACCAGCGACCATCTCTCATTCAAGCGCAAGCAAGGCTGACCTTGCCTGATTGTCGACACAGTGTGAGCCAGCATATCCGCGATTCCGCAGTGTACGAGATTCACCCCTCTTTCATTCTCATACGTCCAGGCTGCATAAGAGGGGCAGCAACTGTGGCAGTCTGGCAGAGGATTGTGAGACGAGAGACTTATCAGAGCCCACTCATCGGGTGAGGTGGGAGCGTAATGAGTGAGAGACCACTGAGATGAGCAGCATGAGCATGAGAGGAGCGTGTGATGAGGGGCTGCTCAGGACAGGACAGGGAGAGATGCAAGGGACGGGAGCACAGTGGCACGAAATCAAGGATTTCCGACCCCTCGTAGGGATGGAAGGGGTTTAGCGAGGTTTGGGGCATCGCATTTCACAGTGCCTTAGGGCCTTGGGTAACTTTGGGGCCAGGCCTGGCCTGCCACTTTGGCCTGCCAGTGCTGCCATTTGACCTGCCTCTCGGCGATTTTTAGAATCTTACACAGGGGTACCCCACCTGCCTGCCTTCGACATGCTGAATTTTCTGATTGGTATTTTTGTTTTCCCCATGGCAGAAAAAAAAGTGTCGAAAAAAATGGAGGGGCAAAAATTAAATACGGACTGCGCGAGGACAGCGACCGGATGGTGGGGAGGAGGGGGTCTCATGAGCAACTCTACTACGTAGGCTCTAGCAGTCCACTTCGTTCGATCGACTCGAGTGAAAGAAAAGGCACCTTACTCTTACCGTGACCAACCCGGTCTAGAGCATCGACGATGTGAAATTGAATTTGTAGAGTCACCTGCCTTTGAGTTCGCCGTCCCTGGAGTTTGCGAAGAGAAGGGCTCGAACGAAGCGCTTCCATTGCCCCCCGACGGCTTATTCTTCGTTCCCCTTCCCCCCACCATCAGAAATGTTAAAGTTTGGTGTCCCGTCCTGTCCGGCCTTATTGGAAGGTTCTTTAGGCTATCAGAAACCCGAGCTTTAAGTATCTTCATCTCAACTTTTTGAACCTTCATCGTCATGGAAGGGGGGCACCCAGGTCTCTGGGGAATTCTGAATACCTACGTAATGCGGTGTGAATATGGCCATGACCGTAGTAGCCCTCAATGGCAAGCCCAGTCCGGGTCGGTTGCCGACGCTGCATTTGTGAGGCAAACTAGCTGCCGCCCCTTTTGGCTGGCCTGATTCTGCCCAAGGAGTTCCAACTGTGTGATTGTGCCCTGCCGGTACCTATCTGAAGCTGACAGACAGCACAATCTCATCTTCGGCTATGGGGAAAAGGCGCCGGCGCATTTCGGGCATTGATGGCTAGGTTATGAGAGCTGTGGGCTGTAGCTAGGCACAGGCATATGAGGCAAGGCAGGCCCGCCACGGTCAGAGATACGTATGAGGGGAACGGGAGATGAACAGGCACCTTATTGGAGTGCTCGACAAACGTAGGCAAGTACCTATGTCATAACCATATCGAACTGGCCATTGTCTAGATGTACCTGTTGTAAGACTGAGGAGTAAGCCTGTCAGATTTAAAGCGACTTTATGACAACATCAAGGGCGTTCACCAGCTGAATAGGTAGTATTACGGCAAGTGAGTATACTGAGAGAATCGAAGTGAGAGGTGAGGTGAGGTGAGCCAACCGTGCCAATCTCCGTCACACACACATACTACTCCGTACACACGCTCATCTTTCATGGACAGTCCCGTCACCAAGTTGCAATCAAACACAAATGCCGCCTGCCCGGTCCAAGCCAGAAAAGCCCAAGGAAAGGTCAGAAGGGGGCATCCAGAGTCTAGAGACGGGCTCTTCCCCTTATGAGAAGGGACTTGCCTATCTGATTGGTGCTCCGGCGCCTGCCCATCTACCAGATTTTCTTGGGCTCCACAAGGCGGTCTGACAATCCAAATTCGCTGCCTTTTCTTTTTTAACCTTGGCCACTCCCTGGCCGCAACGACCGCTTCCCTCCCCTTCTCTCCCACAACACAAAACCACCACCACCCATCGCAAACCTTGCAAAACCACTACGGAAAAAACACCCCTCCTCTTTTTTCTTTCGAGCAGAGATTTTTGATCACGGCTCGATTATCCGCCCTTCATACGTGAGTATAGCCCTTTTCCTAACCGTCGTCCGCGGGGAGAGGAGAGAGAGCCCCTCCATTCACCAATATGGGATATTGTTCAACTCGACTGGGATCCCGTCATCGACATGAACAAAAAACCCTCCAGAGCTTGCCAGCTGCCAACCACAAATTCACCTCTTGCATCTGACGAAGGCGGCGCACACACGCGCACCTCCATCTCCAACTTCCCCACATCGCGCACCGCACACACACAACAGACAAGCGCACACACACACAAGCACACACATGCCACTCGCCCCTCCCCACGTCAACCACATTGCGACAAGGCCGTCTTTCGCCTCCCAGCTCTTTTCCCCTTCTCACACGAAAAGCTTGAATCAATTCCTCCTCTCGACAATCTCAAATCATCTCATCGACTTTGCCGTTATTCTAACGCCTTTCTTCCAGTTCTAAACACCACCGTTACTACTCCTTACCAACCCACCATCAATCGCAATGGATTTCCAGGGATCTGCCGGCGCCCCCCAGGCTCGCACCTGCTTCACCTGTGAGTAGCCTTCCCAGCTTCGGCGCTTCCCCCGTCTCACCACTTTTTCCAACCTACGCGCTGCTTTTCATGCTTTTCAATTTTTCCACTTTCGTTTCTGTGGGTGGCTTTGTGGCTTTCGGTATCGACTGGCACCTTCATCCGAGATTTGGTTGCCATTGGTTCACCGAGTCTCACCGCTTCCACACTGAACTTTTTCCACCAGCTATTGGTGGTTGTTTCATTTGTGCAGCTTACCTTTGGGCCCCTCCTCCCGAGTTTATACTGTCATGTGTCCACTGGATCTTGCGGTTGCTGGCATATGCGGGCGTAGAGAGCTCTATCAAGCAACTACATGACTTTCAAGTTGGTGTTTGGTGGGGTCTTCTCAGTACGAAGCTGGAATTATCACTTGGATAGAGGCTTGGCAAAGCATTCGCGTTGGTGTGAATGCTTCGCTAGGTTCGTATCTCTGGACCCAGATCTGTCAAAGAAGCCGCGTGTATGCCCTTACTACGTCGTCTTACTGACTCTGAGCCGGTGTGCCAGTGACACCTTGATCATGCCTTTCCCTCCAAACGTCGTTACAATTCATGAGCGCAAGAGTCTGACCAGAGATATTTAGGCGGTGCTGCTGGTCACCAGGTACGACTTGCTGAAGGATGTTACGACGCCTAGCCCTCGACTTACTGACTCTTTCTAGGCCCGTGAGTGCCCTAACCGTGGCGCCGCCAAGTGGTACGTTGATATGATCTTGTTTGCCTGATATGCCCCATACTGACTCGGACATAGCTACAACTGCGGCAGTGAGTTTTGATGTATCTGTGTGTTACCGACGAGATGACTGATTGACGTTCGCTTTAGACGAGGGTCACATGAGTAAGTCCTTTTCGAGATCTTCATGAGGTTGATTGTTGACTTACATCCTTCAAGGCCGTGACTGCCCCGAGGGCCCCAAGGACACCAAGTCCTGCTACCGCTGCGGCCAGGCTGGCCACATCAGCCGTGACTGCCCCCAGGGCGGCAACGTCGGTGGTGGTGGTGGTCCCTCCAGCTCCGAGTGCTACAAGGTTCGCTTCGCCTTATCTTGAACGCGCCGAATGTCAGTACTAACACGATATAACAGTGCGGTGAGGTTGGTCACATTGCCCGCAACTGCCCCAAGGCCGGCGGTGGCTACGGTGGCGGCTACGGTGGTGGTTACTCCGGCGGTGGTGGCTACGGCGGTGCCAGCCAGAAGACCTGCTACTCTTGCGGTGGCTACGGCCACATGTCTCGTGAGTACCCGAGATGGTTTCCAGATTGCCAGTTTGACCGTGCTAACATACCATGAAGGCGACTGCACCAACGGCTCCAAGTGCTACAACTGCGGCGAGAACGGCCACTTCTCCCGCGATTGCCCTAAGGAGTCTTCCGGCGGCGAGAAGATCTGCTACAAGTGCCAGCAGCCCGGACACGTCCAGTCCCAGTGCCCCAACAACTAAGTCTGCGATGACTATCGGCGATGAGTGGTCTGCCTTCATGGCAGATTCGGTTTCGAGACGGTTCGACGGCTTCGAGGCCACCGTGGCTCACTTTTGCGATATCAACTAGGCATTGCGGATGCTTTGTACATTTCCTTTTTTCACCCTCGTCTTTTTTCGTCTTTTCTTCCTTGCTCTCATGTTCTCACGGCAAACAACTCTGGGACTCGGCCCGCGGAAAAGTTTTACACGGACAACGGCATATGAATCACGGCTTTTTCTTAACGCACCAAGATACACCTTTCGCATTGGGTCCGCTACAACCTCGGCAAAATGCGGGGTTTGGTTCGGATCGTTTGGATGACGATGGCACAGCAACGCAATAGGGAGACACAAACTTTTGCGCTTACCTCTTCTCCGGTTTTCTTATGGAAAAAGAAACTGGGAGGAGGGGAGTAAGCAGGCAGAGTGGGAGGGCCTCTTTTTTGTGGGCCGGAATAGCTTTCGACCTCTGATAGACTTGGTCTTCGTTGCATATGAGCGGTCTGGGAAAAGAAAGGACTCTCAATAGTAACGACGACCTGGGCAGTGTGGGCCGTTCTAAGCGGTCATGGCTGTCGTTCAGGGCAGGGAATGGAAAGTTTGCGTCGTAACCTCTTTTTTTGCTCTCCAGTGTCCGTGTCTGTGATGTGTGTGTGTGTGTCGTCTTGCTGGACTGTGGGCTTACCCGGTGTACTCATGTAAAGGGGGGGGGGGCTACGGTCTCTCTAGAAGCATTTCTGCCGTGAGCGTAGACGGTGAACGTTGACGACCACGGCCCAAACTCCGTCCCAAACAGAAAAGACAAAATGTTTTTGAAACTTGGAGGTAAGCGCGTCGTCCCAACACTGGAAAGTCTCCCCGTTGTCAGACTCGCCCGGTGCAAACTTTCGTCGCGCGTTTGGATTCGCATCCGTGCTGAGGTGTTATGGGTACTGATTTTCCAAGTTTTGTGCTCCGTGCTGTTTTGTGTGGTCTACTGCCCTCGGGGGTCGTTGACCGTCACACTGTGAATGTATACAAAAGAGTTCCGAGGGCCCTTGAGATGTTGGAATTTATTGCATTTAGATACCATCAGTGTGTTGTCATCTCTCTAGGCGTCCAACGTGGTGTATTTGAACCCCCCCCTTGAGTGGGAATTCGAGTATCTTGGGCTTGGATATGCAATACTTGTCTTGGTCAACTGCCCCCTCGCGCCCCTTTTCCCTCTTACCCCCCTCGGAAAAGGTGCAAAGCAAGCCCCCCCGTTCGAAACGAAACTCTATTGTCTGTCTGCGTCTGACTACCTTACCTCTGACATTGCCTTTTAGCAGAGCACACGGGTTGTCTCGTCTCGTTCCCGGTGTATATCCGAACTCTGTTCACGCTGTTCAAACTCACGAGAGAGGAAGGGGGGAGGGGGGTGGCTGGGATAAGGGATTGAGACTTGGGAGAGAGGCATGGTTCAGGTGAGAGATTAGCCGTGAAGGAAGAAGGGTGGGGGGGAGGCTTGTTGACTATAAGGATTGAGGGGGTTATAGGTGGGCGATCATCCAATGTTGATTTGTTTCTTTCTTCCGAGTTTTCGTCCAAGAAAAGGGTTTATGTGAGGCATTCCAGAATGATTCCTTTTACAGTACATATATATATATATATATATAGCTGACAAATGAGCCCCCGTTCTTCATCCCGTGTCCGTCACGAGGACGGCGTCCCAGTGTAGTGTAGTATAGTGTAGCCTATTCTCACAGCAACAATTAACCCGGAACATAATACCGATACCGTTTGTCCATGCCACAAAAGACCTCCCTTATAACCTCGACTTGGGCATAAACTTCATAGCCTGCCTAACTCCCAAGTCGCCCAACACCTCCTCTGCGCCACCGAGGATAGCATCAAACTTGTACGTGCGGTTGAACATCTCAATCACGCGGCCCATGCCCGTCCGTGTGAGGCCGCGGCCGCCCCAGATCTGGACCGACTCGTCGGCGATCTCGTGCGCGGCGCGGGTGGCGCTCATCTTGAGGAGGCCGATGGGCCCGCCGAGGTGCTTTGCTTGTTCCTTGTAGGGCATCGAGTTCATCTGGTAGGTGATTGTTTCGAGCCAGGATTGGTGGGATTCTACGAGGGCAATCATCTTTGCGAGCCTGTTTGGGGGAGACGTGTAAGTGGACGGTCAGGGTTGCAGAAAGGGGATTTGGATACTTACTTGAGACGGATGACGGGTTGGTCAATGAGACGCTTTCCGAAGACGAGACGCTGGTTTGCCCACAGGAGACACTCTTCGACGACGGCTCTGCATTGGCGGATTGTGGCGCCTAGTTGATAAACGGTCAGCGCTATCCGGATCTAAAAGGCGGAACGACGGGGGATGAAGACTTACAAGCCATGGTCCACCGCTCGTGGTTGAAGTTGCTCAGGATGACGTGGATGCCCTTGTTCTCCTGGCCCAGCAAGTTCTCTACCGGAACCTTGACATTGTCAAAGGTTACAAAACCCGTTCCTGCGGCTGGAGAGTATGATGTCTTAATAGGCCTGGTCTCAACCCCTTCGCCTCTCTCTATAAGGAGGACACTGAGGCCCTTGTCTGTCTTCACACCAACAACAAAAAGCGAACAGTACGTAGCGTTCGTTATCCATTTTTTGGTTCCATTGACGATCTATTCCATGGTTTAATTAGTTAATGATCAACTTGTGTTGTGGTTGTGGCCCAAAAGGATGGGAACAGAAAGTTGGTAGACTCACATAGTGTTTTCCGTCAGGTGTCTTTTCCGCAGTGGTTCTAATGCCTGCAACATCACTCCCAGCAAATGCTTCGGTAATGGCCAAGCAAATCTTGTCTTTGCCGCTGAAAACCGAATCCGCAACGCGCTTGCGCAGCGACTCGGAGTTTGCAAAGTTGAGAACAACAGGCAGGCCAATCGTCATACCCGCAAGCATACCGTCCTGAAAACCGCGGCAGTTGGTCCGGGCCATCTCTTGGCTGAGAATCATGTCGTGGAAGTAATCAAACTCCTCGCCATTAACGGCGCCGCCCAAGAGGTCCACGCCATGTAGGTGCTTGCCAGGCCCGAGACGCATGTGTAGCACTCCCGCCTTGGACATCTTATCAATGAGCTCCTGGGGAATGACTTCGCCCTTTTCCTCGCATTCAAGTGCCACAGGGGTGATGTGCTCGTCGGTGAACTTGCGAATGGCCTTTTGCAGGGAGCGATGCGAGTCGTTGAAGTAGGGGGACTTAAACTGCGGCGTAAGCCAAGTGGGCTCGGCGTACGGCACGGGAGACAGCTCGCCGGGGCCGGTGACGATAACCTGGGGCTTCTCGCCCTCGACGGTGCCGATGACGAGGGTCTTGTCGTACTTTGTGAGGACATCCTGACGGTGAAGGTTGTAGAACTGGGTTGTGGCGTCTTGGCCTGCGACCTGACGAAGGACGGCTTCGCCACCGGGATGACCCATGGCGAAGTCGGTCAGATCATAGACCTTGGAGTCGATGATGCACCAGAGGGAATCCTCCGTGTTGTTCTTTGCGACCTCGTCGCGAGAGAACGTCTTTGCGGCCATGGTGGGCGGTTTGGAGTTCGTGCTTGCACTCCTTTATAATTCGGACTAACGAGGAAGAATCGAGGGGACAAGCTGACGGCGGGGTCTAGCAGTCGAATTGGAGGCTCGATTCGTCTACGAGAGATGGGATATCCGTCGAGGTAGAAGGAGGAGGAGTTGAGGTTGGCTCTCCAGAGTGCGGGTTCACGAGGATAAAGAGAGAGTTTGAGCAGGTCGCCCCGGCGGTCAGGTCATTCTAGTTGAGGAGGCAGTGCGTCTCTCGGTTGACATCGGTCTGGGGGGTTAGGGGGAATGGACGGCGTCCAGCCATGTCTGGAAATCGTGCCGCGAGCCTCGGCTCTTGTGGAGCGTGGGCGACCTTCCGGGTTCGTGCTGATATTCGGCGGAGCTGTGATTGGATGGCGGGAGGCTGGGGAATGAGACGGCGTCTGGGGGATGCCATTTTAGCCTGGCCGGGGGTGGCGGGGGCAGGTCGAGGACTAGAAGCTTTGTGTTTGCACTTCGGAGTCTACCGCGGACTTTGTTTACTAATCACTCCAGAGTCCAATGAAACCAAAAGACCCTGAATAGAAATTGACTTTTGTCGTTTGATGGGAATTCGAGGGAAATACTGCTGCGAGACTTTGCTCCAAAGTAGACATGATCGCTGGTTGAGACGTCTGAAAGACTGCGCGACGCGACAGAGCCCCCTGTTGATGCTCCCCACAAAGGCGGGAAGCTTTTACCCCGCAGAGGGGCCGTCTCCCCCGTACAGTTGCATCCCTCAAGTCAATAATGAGATTCCGAGGTTGGAGGGCCCCTTTCAGTAAACAAAAATCCGGCCGAGTCTGCTCACACGTAGCGGCTCAACCATAAGACACGAGGCTCCAAGCGCTTCATGGGTATACGTTGTCAAGAATGCAACCTCCCAGAACAATTGATCAAGAACCCGTATGTTGCAACTCGTAGCTTGGAGAGGTTAGCCCGAGAGCTCTCAGTGACTTCAGTGATCAGACGGCGAACATCACGCTGACCTTGACATCAGACCATACGAATAACCTTGACGAACATCGGACTGTCGTAGGTAGGCGAATATATCCTTTGTGAACATCTTCTTTCCTGCTTATGTACTGTAGACACGAGTAAGTCCGCTTTCTCCTACTTGGCTGGTCCCTGGCTCGTCATGGCGTGATCTCATCCCAGCACATCGGTCCAAGCCGGTTTGTAGGTACGACTCGGATCATACGCAAAGTTAAACATGGCCAGTGCAACCACAACATGCGCACTCGCCCAGAGTGGAAGAATGACGTCCACGGGCTTTGGGATCCCGTATCGATTGCTAGTTGTGAGGTGCAACCGGGCCCATCGGGATATCTCCAGAGTCCACAGGACCATTCCGAGTTTCCAGGCCCATTGACTGGCAGAGCCTTGGGCGTTGAAGTCTATGATACCGTTGCCCT